CCCATCGTTCACTTTAGCATCGGACCCTGGGGGCTCCTATGCACCCCTTCCACACACACACACAGCTCCAAGGCTAAACAGAGCCCGGAGGGACAGAAGAGGCTGGCAGAAGGATATCTCCTCCTCCACCAATAATCCTGTATACGTAACATAGATTTAAAACACATGCCTCCCAAATAATTCTGGGAACTGTAGTTCACCCCTCACAGAGAGCTACAACTCTCGGCCCCTTAGCAAACTGCAGTTCCTGGGATTCTGGGGCAGGGGACTATGAGGTCATAGTCAATTTCTGCCCAAAATTAACGGTTGTGGCTAACGTGGGCCCATTTATTTCAGCTGAGTAGAAGCTGGCTGACTACAACCCAGTGGCGTAGCGTGGGTTGTCAGCACCTGGGGCAAGGCAAATAATTTGCGCCCCCTAACCCGCGAGCCAGGTAGGGGCAGAGAGCTGCAAGTGCGAGCGCGTCCCCCCCGATGTTGCGCCCGGCCCCCCTGCACCCCCCATGCTACGCCACTGCTACAACCCACAGCATGTAAGCAATGTGAGATTTCTCTGTAAGTGGCTGCTCAGATCAGTGCAGAAACTGGGATAGGCAAATGAACAATGATCTCACTCTCCCCACCACAACACATAAACAGTGTGTGTTGCATCAACATCCCTCCACCTCGCCCCACTCTTAATCCCCTCTGGGTGACACCTACCCCCCTCCAATTCTCTATCCCATCATCTCAGTCTCATCTGCCATCTTTCTCCAGCGGCTGGCATGCAGACACCCCCAGCAGATCTCGATCATCATTCAGCCCCCTATCAATCACCCCTAATGCTGGATGCAGCCCTCTGCCCCTCCCCCCTCTTCCCTGACTGCCCTATATCCAGCCTAATCCCCCACCCAGAGTCTCCGCTCCAGACTGCCCGTCTGCTATGGAGCTAATTCTCTATCTCTCTCTAGAGAAGCAGCGACACTGGTTCTAATAATGAAGCTTTGCATTTAAGCCCCCACTCCCCCTGCCCTGCCACTGCTGCAAAGATCAATAGCATGTCAGTTCCATCTGGGCTAAGGGGGTGGGATCAGAGCTGTCAATCTGCCGCAGCTGTGGACCAAGTGAGCTTTGCCGAGTTCTTTGCATATAAACACACTGCATCAAGAGCTGGTGTGTGTAGCGTGTCAGACCAGGACCAGGGGGATACCAGGGTTCCAGAGCCTGGATAGCTCAGTTGGTTAGAGCGTGGTACTGATAATGCCAAGGTTGCAGGTTCGATCCCCGTATGGGACAGCTGCATATTCCTGCATTGCAGGGAGTTGGACTTCATCAGGGTTTCCCAAACCTGGGTCTCCAGCTGTTTTTGGACTACAGTTCCTATCATCCCTGACCAAGCTAGGGATGATGGGAATTGTAGTGCAACAACAGCTGAAGACCAAAGTTTGGGAAACCCAGGACTAGATGAGTCCCTTCCACCTCTACAATTCTATGTAATCCTCACCTGGCCCGGAAGCCAGTTGCTGTCTCTCAGTCTAGCCTACTTCACAGGGTTGTTGTGAGGATAAAATGGGGGTGAAGGGAACCACATACATCAACTCATGCTCCTTGGAAGAAGGTAGGGTTATAAATGCAAGCCAATAACTGTGCAGCAACAACTTAACAAGCATGACTTGTCAAAGGCAGCCCCCCCCCCCCGTTCTCCAGGCCTCTCGCTCTTCACGCCCGTTCTTGAGCTCAGCATGAAATTTCTATTATCTTGGAATATGAGGAATCCTCCTGGGGCAAAGAAAGAGTTCTGCACAACCATAAAGCTTGCACATTGGCACAGGGAATATAAATGAGTCCAAAAGGTGCATCTCAAATGCTCTTGGAGACCCGGATGTCAGAGAATACTGAAGATCCAGGCTCAGCAACCTTTTTCAGACCCAACCTTTTTGCATTCCCTTACGGAGGCCACACATCTGTGGAGGGCAGGATCAGAGGCTAAAGTCGGTGGGGAGCAACACAATTTACCTTTGCACAGCAGCCCATTTCAAACTCACCCTCCTCTGTCCTCCATCCAAGCAGTCAGGAAGCATGACCAAATTGCAAAGGCCTCATTGCAGAGGGTTGGACTAGATGACCCCTGGGGTCATTTCCAAGGCTACAATTCTATGATTCTACATTCCAGGGAGGGAAAGCGTGGCCTGGGTGGGGTGTGGCCTGAGCAGAGCTTCAAGGGTCAGGTAGAGAGGTCTGGGGGGCCACATCTGGCTTCTGGGCTGGAGGTTCCTCACCTCTGTTTAGGACCCTGGTCCACGCAGAACAGAGGGGGGAGTATTGCCAGTTCACAGGCATAGGCAAACTCTGGCCCTCCAGATGTTTGGGACTACAATTCCCATCATCCCTAGCTAACAGGGCCAGTAGTCAGGGATGATGGGAATTGTAGTCCCAAACATCTGGGGGGCCGGAGTTTGCCTATGCCTGCTTTTAAGCTTGCATTCAGGTCAGCTGCACCAGCCAGGGGTTCCCTTATTTCCCAGCTAGCAAAGAGCAAGAACAGCCACTAATGCACCCCCCAAAACTGCATGAAGTAGGAGGGAGTTGATTGACACTCTTTCATCTTGACCTCTTCCTTGTGTCTAAGGGAACAGAAAGAAAGGAAAGTCCATATGCAAGTTCCTGGCTACCAGCCCTGATTCTATGTCCTACCTCCACCAGCCAACACAGTCTGCCTCAGAAAGCTATTTGCTTCGAATTGCAAGCAGGGAGAGTTGTGCACAGCTCCTGTGCTTGGGGGCTTCCTACAGAAATCTGGATAGCCACTGTGAGAACAGGACAAGATGCAGCACCACCCTTTGGGGTTTCTTCAAAGATCTGCCCAATCCAAACCCATATTTTGGCTCCCTCTCCATCCCATGCCCATGACTTCGGTTCTGCAGCAAGATACAGGCTGCAGTCCTAAACTCACTCTCCTTGGAGTACTACGGAGAAGGCAAGCAAAGGACTAAGCTGATGTCGTATAATAGCGAGTACCAAGCAAGAGAGGCAGTGCAGCATAGTGGTTAGAGGAACTTAGACCTGGACTCAAAGCCAGCTAACACATACACACAGCTTAGCCCCACTAATCTCACAAAGGCACCTACGTGCACACATACCCCCTCTCCCAGGTCTCCTCCACCCCCACCCCAGCCTCAAAAAGAGAAGAACAAAAAAGCCCGACAGATACTTTCCCTCTTTCTATTTGACCTTTAATTCCAGTGTTGCAGTTAGGCAGTTTTAGGCTCTAGGAAATTTCCCACCCTCTCCATGGCAAGATGCAATACTTCCAAAACAAACAAACAAACAAACAAACAAACAAACAAACAAACACACCAAGCATGGAAGGGGGGTTGCTTCCTGCTTGTTCTGCAGCGTGGGGCATCAGGCCTCTACCCTCAAGTCCAGCCCCAAGCGCAGCACCTGATTAGTTCTCGGTTTGCTTATGGATGCAAAGAATATTCTCTTATCCACCTCTCCAATAGAGCATTAACAGAAAGTAAGGAGGCACGGAGAACAAACCTAGCTGCTTCCTCCCCCTCCTTCCCCCAGCCAGGAAAGGGAGGTCAATGCACCACATTTTGCAGAGAGAGTTTTCTGCCTCTCTGGCTGGGCTAGGCATCCCCTCCACCCACAGCTTATTGGGGAAAGGTTCAGCTCAGCGGCACAGCATATGTTTCACAGGCAGAGAGTGCCAGGATTCAATCCCTGGCATCTCCAGATAGGGCTGGAGAGAGAGAGAGAGAGAGATCCCATGTCTGAAATCCTGGCAAGTAACTGTGCTAGATGGTCTGGTAAAAGGTAGCTTTCTTAAGCACCTTGAACTCAACCCTGTTCCTCTCCCAAGACTTCTTTTCCCCATTTGGCTCCCCTTAGGAGTAAGGTTTAACAATGCTCCCATAACAAACAAACAAACAAACAAACAAACAAACAAGAGCACAATCTCCCCCTTCCAAACAAGCTAGCCAAAGTTCTCTCTTGAGCTCAGCAAATGTGAGCATATATATTTATACACTGCTTTCTTATGCCCTGTGAGTAATAACCTCAAGAATGAGTCCCAACTCTCCAGTAAGTTCTGAACTCCCCTAAACAACAGCTCCAAAGAATCACACCTTACTTACTCCCCCGTTTTGTTTAGCCAAAATAATGCAATGCGGTAACGCAGAACAACCTCGTCAAATATTTTGAGGGGTTTGGGGTGTGCATGTGCGACTTTAGATAGATAGATACATACACACACACATACATATTGCACCTGGCTGTAACAGAAAGGCTTGCAATCCTACCAAACGCAGTTTACTTGGAAGCTACGTTTCTCTGCACTTCCTGGAACTGAAGTCCCAATAAATTGCCTGCAGACCGCCGGGTCTTTTATGGCACCGCCCCTCCCCCTCCCCCCGCCGCGTATCTCTAGCGTCTCGGTTGTGGGTCTACACACGATACCATGGGGGACGGGACCCAAATCACTTCCATCATGATCCCCAAAACTCCACACAAGTTATGCAAGACTTCTTTATCCAGTTTTAAAAAATAAATTAGGGGTCGGGGGGAAGAAAACCCACCATTCCCCAAACGCACGTGTACGCCACCTTTTTAATTCTCCAGAGATGTTCCCACGTTACATCCAACGAGCGCACAGATCCGTGCCCGCAAACAGTGAAGCGGACCTTCGTGCGGAAGGTTGCGGGAGTGTACAGTCCGCGTCCACCTTGGAGGAGCCGGGCAAGCGCACGCCAGTAGCGGTGCAGAGACAGCTGTGCCCGGTGTAACGTGTGAACTGCCCGTGCCCCGGCCCCACCTTTCCCCTTCCCCCCTCACACACTTTTTCTCCGAGGGCCGGCTTCAAGTGCAACTTGCAAAGCGCGGCTGCACGTGTCCGGAGGAGAGATCCCCCTTCTCTCCCGCCTCCCCACGTTTTCTACCACGTCGCCTCTTCTCACGATACGCAGGGTCCCGTGTCATCCCGTTCACCCACCTCCCCACCGCGGCGCCTCTCTCACCCTTGGCCGGCCGGCCGGCTGGCTGCCTCCTTCCTTCCTTGGGAGTAGCCGGATGGCGAGGCGCAGGAGCCGAGGCGCACAAGCCGAGCGCAGGGTCACATTCGCGGCTGGGGCGCGGGGAGCGGAGCGCTCAGCAGACCCGTCCGCGGCGCCGCCGCCGCCTCCCCAGCAGCTGCAGCAACATGCACGGCCAGCCCCCCGGCCCGGCTCATGGGGAAGAGAGGAGGAGGAGCAGCGAAGGCCCCAGGGGGGCGCCCTCTGGGCAGCCGCCGCGCGCAGGACACCTTGGGCAGCCCCGACCGTGCGCCCTGGCCACCGCGCCTCGCTCGCCGCCTGCTCCGCGTCTGAGCTGCCTGCGCCCCGCCGGGCGCGCCGTCCAAGCTGCCCCGCCCCGGCCAAGCGCCGCCTCCGACACCGCCTCCTCCTCTCGCCTCGCTCCTGGGAGGCCTCTCGCGGCCCACAGCGCCCCCCGAGCCGCGCGCGGGTGGGAAAGGAAACGGGCGCCGCGCCGGATTCATGGAACGGCCACTCCGGAGCAGGAGGGTTGGACGGGGAGGGGACTTGGCTGGCTGGCTGGTTTGTATTTCCCGCCGGAAAGATGCTCCTTCAGAGCCGCGTGCCATCCGAAGGAAGGCCTATTGTTGGACTTAATGGGCCTCACTCCCAGGTAAGTATAGTTAGGAACTGCAGTCCTCTGTCCCCCCTCCCCCTTTATGTGATGCGCCTTTCCCTTTTACGCTGGAAACTCTCCACTCATTGAGATGATTCCCATGGGGATGAGACTTTCCTTTAACTGACTTTCCCCATAGGATCTACGGTTGCCAGCTTCGTTCTGGCAAAATACAGGTCAGGGTGGGGTGGAGCGGTTGGGGGGGGCATTCCCCCGCCCATCTGACGTGACTTCAGACAGAGCAATCCATTACAATCTATTGCAGCCTAACAGGATGGCCCCTCTGGAATTTGTCAAACGTGCACGTGTGCACACACATACACGTGAATTTGTAAATCTGCCTGCGCTTGGCTACCCAGACCCATGACTTTTCACGCATCCTTTCAAACACATGCATTTGGAGATGATCCCTAAGTTGAGAGAGAGAGAGAGAGAGAGAGAGAGAGTTAGAGAGAGAGAGAGAAGACCTGGAATACAGGACAAAACTGTATCAATACAGGGCTTAGCATTTTTCAGCAGCTACAGGACAGCTGGCCTTTGAGGTCCCTCTCAACTCCGTTGTTGCAATGAGAAGAGTAGCAACAAAAAAAGTAAAAGAGAATTCATGACATGTAGCTCTGGAGTCGTTATATACTAAACAGATGAATCAATAAAGGATTATACAAGTTTTGATGGAGATGAAAATGAGAAACCAGTGTAATCAGGCCTAGTAAATAGCAAAGTGATGGTGGTGATCAATAAATGCAAAACAAATGATCATTGGGATGGCTTTGCAGCATGTGAATCTGGGTTCTTTACACCAGTTTGTTGTATTTGGAAACCTTGATCTGTTACTATTCTGCCTGAGCAAACATTGAAAATCGCTACCATGTTTTAAAATCCTTACTAAAGACAAAGGCTGTAGGAAAACGTTATTTGAAAACAGCAGAACCCAAAGTAGAACTGTTGAAAAGAGAAGAAACTGTAGCAACGCCAAAGCTCAAATTGGTTACATCCTGGAGGATGGATTTTTACAAATGATTTTACAATCATTTTGACATTTTAAAACCTGACTTCCTTTCTGCGGTTCCATAAATTTATTTTTAATATCTTCTGCATATCCAAATTAACTTACTCATTTACTTATATATATATACTCTTATGTAGCTGCAGGTTATTGCAATAACCCTGACAGTGTTTTTATCTGTTTACAATTTATCTGTAAATATTCAATAAACCTTTTCCATTCTTTTATAAAAAGTTTGCTATCTTGATTTCTTATTCTTCCGCCATTTCTGCATATTCCACAAGTTTTTTTATCCCTTCTTCCTTTGCTGGGACTTCTTCTTTCCATTTTGGGGCAAGTAACATTCTTGCCGCTGTAGTCGCATACATGAATAAATTTCTATACAATTTAGGTAGTTCTATTCCTATAATTCCCAAGAGAAAGGCTTCTGGGTTTTTTTTTAAATAAAAAAATAAACATTATTTTAAACATCCTTTTCATTTCATTGTATATCATTTCCCAGTAAGCCTTAACTTTAATACAAGACCACCACATATGATAAAATATGAATGAATAGAAATAGAACCTACTCTCATGACAGTGGCACAAAAACCTCACACATAAACTATGTAAAAGAACAAAAGTCTACCATCCCCCCCTTCTCTCTCCCCCCCACCTCCTCCCCACCTCTCCTCTTCCCCAAACTTATACTGGCTATAACATGAGTGCCTCTGTGGCGTTTGCCCTCCTAGGTGGGTCATAAGGAAAGGGTTAAATGAGTGTGAAGTGATTGGCCAGTGGGAACCCAAGGGGAGGAGTTAGAGTTGGAGTTGTTTGGAAGTCAGTTGGGAGTTGGAGAAGGAAGAGGGAGGATAAGTCTGTGGGTTGGTCTAGTTTTGAGGTGAGAGAGTGAGAGAAACTGTTAGGAGGAGTCAGATAGACAGTTGGAATAATCAGTTAGAAATTATTAGGAAGGTATAGGTCAGTAAAAAAACTAAGAAACTGACGAGAAAAAATATCTGAAACCATAACCTTGTTAATGCTTATAAAATAAACTTGCTTATTTGATTTAATGTTAGCAACTGTCAGGACTCTGTGTGTACCCAAGAGAAACGGGTTGGTGGCAGCGGGGAAGCAATCACAGTGGTGGCACAGGGATCCATAGACCGTCAAATGTCCGGGGACCTTGTGTGATCGCCACAGCTTCACATTGAATATAACTGATCTGTAGAAAGGACTCTTATGAACTGAAAGCAGAGACGCTGCATGTACCTTTGTAACCCGAGAAAATCTTCAATGAAAACAATTTAAAAGGAAAATACAAGGTTGTGACCTAAGCTATTCCAGGTTACTGAAATTTGGGAGTGTTGAGCTGTTCCACGGCTGCGTGGATGAATTACCAGCCAGACAACTTGGTCTCCTCTGCCCACTTTAATCTTGGAAAATGGATTTTTCTTTTTAAGGTTTTTATAGAAAACAGAGATTTTTTTGTCACTCCTCTGCTTGATATTCCACACTGTCAGAGGAAAGGAGGGGAAATAGCTGCACCAAAGGATGGTTTCAGGGAAAATGTCCTTGCTTCACTCTGCGTTGCACAAGGGTATTTGATGCCCAAAACCACTAAATATTCCCTTCAAAGTTCCTGCTGTATTGTGAGCAGAGATCTTTGAAGAATAACCATTTCTAGTCCCTTGAGAGGGTTCTCTCCATGGAGGAACGTTAGTTCTTATTTCTTTCAAAATATGCCTGGCATTCTTCTCTCTCTCTCTCTTTCTGAAAGGCTTTAAAAGAGAATTTTGGGGCAGCTCTTGACATTGACGAGGTTACAGTTGCTCAGAATTTCCTCTCTCTTTGATTTTCCTGCATTGCCTTTTTTTAAAAAAATGGCTGAGATTATAATCCAGGCTGGCTGCAGTTTAGAGGAAGACCAAAGTTATATATAGAATTGCAGAGTTGGAAGGGACCCCGAGGGTCATCTAGTCCAACCCCCTGCAATGCAGGAATCTCAACCCAAGCATCCATGACAGATGGCCATCCAACCTCTGTTTAAAAACCTACAAGGTTGTTGTTCTCTTTGACATCTGGTGGGAGGGCGTTCCACAGGGCGGACGCCACTACCAAGAAGGCCTTACAACTCCCAAAGTCCTTGACTATTGGCCAAACTGGCTGGGCTGATGGGACTTGGCCTCCACAGCTTCTGGAAGGAGAGATGTTGGCTACCTCTTGAAATAGGGCATCTAATCCAATCAGAGCTGGCCCACCCACGAGGCAGACTGAGGCAGCATCCTTGGGTGGCAGAATCCTGTGGGGTGGCATCCCCAAGGACGCCCTGCCTGCCCCTGCTGCTGGAGAAGCGAGGAGAAGCAGTGATGGCAGCTTCTGTTGAGATCTTGCTGGAAGGTACTACTACCATGTGTGACGTTAACATATGAGAGTGCTGGAGGTGAAATAGTTAAACAGGTTACCCAATCAGAACCCAGGGGGGTGGAGTCAGAGGGACCATAAAACCAGCTTTGGGAGGGGCAAAGGGAAGAGTTTTTGGGAGTTGGGTGGTTGGCTGGAGTGGGAGTGAATTGGGATAGAGTCTGTGGGGAGGTTGAGTTAGTGTAGTGAAATAAGCTGAGTCAGGAACAGTTAGGAGCTAGGAAGACAAGTATGTATCTGAGAGGTGGTTTAGTGAGTGAGAGCAGGTAGTGGAATGTAATGGTTCTAGGGGTTGCTCGTGCGTAAGCCGGTGCCCACACCTGGCTGGGTTGCCTAAGTGAACCTTTTCTGTCCGGACAGCCACTCACCCGTGGCTGTCTCAATCGCTGGCAGAATCCGTCAGTGGGTGTTTCTTAAACTTCTTCCAGCAAAGAACTTCTTTCACGCCCAGTCTCCTCCTACTTTCCCTGCGCGGAAGCCTTCTGCGCAAGGAAGGTGTAGGCAGCGGAGGACCCTTCCTCCCCACGCTGGTCCCTGGCAAGGAGTCATGTGACTCCCTCTCAGATTCCCCCATCTGCCCCCCTTCTCCACTGGAGCTGAGCTGATTCCCTTCCCCAGAAGATGGGCTGCCTCTCCCAATCCCGGGACGCTCTCTGGGATCCCTCTGGAGCTCTCTCTCTCCCTCCGGCACTGATGGCAGTTCCCTGACATGGAAGTTATAGGTCTGGATAGGCACCCCATGATTGTAATTGACCAATACTGTTTATGAAACCACACACTTGTTAAACTGCAATAAATAAACAAAAGTTTATGTTCCAATTTAACCCTGACTGGACTCAGTATTGCACCAGGTAGGGCCTGGGTGGTGACAGCGAGAAATAAAGTGGTGGCACAGGGATCAATAGACAGTGAAACGTCCAGGGACCCTGTGTGATCGCCACACCATGTGACCTTGGTAAGTGCGGCTTCAGTGGCGTCTTCCTCTTTCGTCTCTGAAATGCCTAAGCGAGAGAGACGGACTGTAGCCTGAAAGAGGTTTGGGCCTCACTCAAGGCGTTCCATTCATTAGCAGCCTGTTGCTTTCCTTAAGAGCTTGGACCTCTCCTGTTGTAAGAGAGACATTTGTATTAAAAATAGCTCTCCTCATAAGCTGATGGCATGTAAGTGCATTCTGTGTGTCTGCTGGGAGTTAGAAAAAAGATGGAATACTTTGCTTATATTTTTGTGAACCATTATCTCTGACCATTGGTCTCATTGGCCGGGGCCGAGGGGAGCTGGAGTGAAACCACATCTTGAAAGTTCCCCATCCCTGGCCTAAGACCTATCGGGGCAGGAACAGAATGGACCTCCCCTCAGAGGCCCTATTCCAGGTCACTGTCCACCAAATTTCTTTGGCAAAATGGTGACCTCCATATGTTGTCGTACTACAGCTCCTCTCAGCCTTTGCTGTTGGCCCTGCTGACGGGGGTTGATGGGAGATGTGGTTCTGCTCCATCTGGAGAGAACACCGTATTGGCTACCCCTGTATCAAAGGATCTTTGAGCAGAGATCTGAGGATGCTCTTAAGCAATATAAGGTGTATGACATC